GGATTTTGCTTTTTATTCTTCCTTGCAATTTTGCATCCCCGGCTCTCCATCGTAGGTTCCACTCGCCATTCACTTCTCCTGCCACGGAATCCTGCTTTACAAATGTATTAAATTCTGCTTTCTTGAAATCCAAGGTATACTCAAGAAATTCTGCTTTCTTGAAATCCAAGGTATACTCAAGAAATTCTGCTTTCTTGAAATCCAAGGTATACTCAAGAAATTCTGCTTTTCTTGAAATCCAAGGTATACTATACTTATTCAGCTTTACTTTTGCTGAATATCAGACTTCCAGCGGATCACAGCGTTGTGACTTAGTTCCATTTTACCCACCCTAAGGAAATACGGACAACCCACAAAAATAGAGGGAACTTTTATTGGAAGGGTTTTTTTTCCCTCCAAAAGGAAACGAGGGGCCTAAATCAATACATATGAAGTGGCAGGCAGGCAGGAATGTGTTCATAAAGTCCCAGAGTGGAAAAACAGGTTATACCACAGCAGATCACATGAAAGCAGGAATGTTACTTGGAAAGAAAAAGAAAAAAACCCACATAAATTTGTCTCCTAAGGCAGAAAGCTTGCATGGCAAGAAAAGGGCTAATGTCAAAAAATCCCTGGTGCGCTAGCTTTCTACTTGCAAGGTGCTTCCAATAGGAAACGTTCACAAATGGGATCTTACTCTACTAGCACAGACTCCTACATGTTTAAACCACCTCACAATTGTGAGGATCCTTTCAGAGTTGAAGGAAAGCGCATCTCGCAGTGTCTGTGAGATAAAAGCAATCCTCTTTTTTTTTTTGAGACCCGCTTTGCTTGGGACAAGATAGGAAAAGGACTACTGGCCATTCCTGCAAGGTCACCATTGCACCTTAAGATCCAGGGGATCAAGAGCTGGACCCTTTTCTAGGCTACAAGTTAAGCCGCGATTGGTTTCCCAATGGCTCAGGAGAGAATCTGGTTTTTAAAAAGCAGACGGGAAAGACCGATTCTTGACTATGCCGAACCGCTCTTTCGAAGAGCAGAAGAAATCCACCCTTCCCCAGATCTTTGGTAATTTTGTTCTTTTAAAATACCCCACCCCACCCCACCCCACCCACCCCAGCGGCAGGAAAGAAGGTCATCCTCTTCTCCCTCAACCACTTTGGCCTCGCAGTTCCCATCCGTGGGAGACCCAGACACACCAAACAGCCTTCGGGGTGGATCAAGCACCACTTCCGAGGTCCACGGAGAATGCGCACGTCTTCCATCTTACCGACCGCCTTCCAGGATGTCGCGATCCCCTTTGGATCTTGGACCACCGCCCTCCTCTCCAGAAAACCAGGCCCAACGTTTTCATTCCAGGCACGTCCACAGCCGTTCCACGTCCGGTAGGACCAAAAGGAGCTTCCCCGTGCGGAGAACCTCGCCCGCCCTAGAGCCGCAGATATTCTGCCAGGAACGCAGCGAGGATCTTACTCAGGTTCTCGACGGTGGGCGGGTGCAGGTTTGCTTCTGTGTCCTCCAGGGTATGCCAGACCCTGGGAAACGGGGTGGCAATGAGGTGGAGGACTGGAACGCCTGTCATAAATACACGCAGACACACATACACGTTAGCCCATGGCTGCCCTCCATGCTGGGCAAACGCTTGATTTTAATACTAAATGTCCCTTCCCGAAACGAAGGAGGCAGGCAAGATTTTTGCTCGGAAGAGGCGGGTTTGGAAGTAGCAGGGGCCGAAGGGGGGGGGAACGTACCTTTCTTGAGGAAGGGTGCGTGATCATCTTCGATGGAGCTGTAGGGGGAATCTCTCTGGAAATACAGCTGTTCCTGAGAATGGGACCGGAGAAGTCCAAGCTGGTGCAGCCGCTTTTCTACAGAAGGGAAGGCAGAGATTAGGGGGGGGGGGGGGGGGTGCACACAGGCATGCATGTCTTTGCATGGAATTCCAGCACAGCCAAGACCCCGTTCCTGCAACGGTCTCAGACCGACATAACTCGGGGACTAAACCGTGGGGTTCTTGGTGTTCGCCCTTGCAAATTTCATTCCGCTCTGCTCTGATGGTTCCTAGCTGGGTATCGAAACATCTGCAGGAAAATCACCAACCTCCTGCAAACGTCTACTATGGTGTTTCTCAACCTTGGCCCCTTGAAGAGGGGTGGACTTCAACTCCCAGAATTCCCC